GGGTTCAAATGATTAATTTATAAGAAGAAAATGAGAAGCATGTTGGATAGCTTATAGCTCAGTAACTCTGATTACAAGTCCCAGGGATTTTCTACTGCTGAGGTAAGTGCCGAGGATGAAATGAGAGAAAGAGGGTGTAGCTACATGAGCAGTTTGAAACACATTCCAGATGGAGAGGAGACCATTAGGGCTTGGCCGTAACTGGAGACTTTTTTGCTGTCCCTGAGCAGGACATGTCTAATAAAAAATGAAAGACTCTGAAATGGAAAAACTTTTCCAGGTAAAACTTCAACAAAGGGTCAAAGTGTATTTGCTTTTTTGCTGGCTGGAACTGGCACAGACTTCTGGCCCTACACTAGGTAGGCCTGCATCTCGAGGACTTTGTTGGCAAAGCGGAGTTCACTTCGCTGCATTCTACAGCCCAGAGATAAGAGCCCTTGTGGGGGCGGGGCAGTGCTGAGGAAAAGAAGGGCTAGATGAGTTAAGTGGTTGTGCCCTGGAAGCAGAGGACTGAGCCACAGCCAGGGCTGGAGGCTCCAAGTGGGTGGGTTATAGGCATTAAGGCCCACGGCAGTGGTCCCCTTCTTCCTTAAGAGACTTTAAAAGTTCTTTTCTTTACAGTTCTCTGCAGATAGAATGGTCTCCAAAATAATCCCAGGTCCCAGTACAGTAGCACTGAGCTATGATAACTCAACACATCCCCACACACACCCCTTTAACCCACCGTCCCCATCACCCTGCTACACAGGGTTCCATGCCCCCCCCAGCCTAGAGAACGAAGAAGCCCTTTGGTGAGAGACAGCCTTCTGGCAGCCTTTAATAATTTTATTCAAAGCAGAACTTCAGTAAAAGATTGTAGCAGGGTCTTCTCAGAGCATTCCTGGGATAAAAAGGATTCAGACCCAGACTCAGGGCCTGGTCTGTGCTGAAAAAGGGTTAAGTTTACTTTTGAGCTGTTATCTTTAAAGGAGTCAAGGAACCAAGAAGAAATAACATCTTGGGGTAAAATGGAGCCAAAAAGATGGGAGAGGGTAGCCATCTCCCCAAGGAAGTTTGAGGCTAGTCAGAGGGAAGAGGACAGGTTACTGGCCCATCAAGGCAGTGGCCCTCCCCTGGTGCCTGAACCTATTGAAACTAAATAAAGTGAAGGAGGGGTACATTTACACCTTCAGGTCCACAGCTGCATCAGATTGTCAATAGTCTAGGACCCAAATACACAGCAAGTCCCGGGAACAAATTTGGACAGAGCCCAGGAAAACTGGACGTTTGGTGAGGCAATTTTCATCACATAGCTGTCCTTTGTTAAGCCTGCCAGACACCTACTTATCTCTCATCTCACCATTGCAACCCTATGGCTTTATATTAACACATTATCTTACTGGCAAAAAGTTCAAAGCTCAGGGATGCAGATTTCTTGCTTGTATCATACAGCGAAGAAACACAGGTTAAAGGGTATGCACCCCAGTTCACCAGACTCAGAGGTTCTTTATCCTGCCACACAATCCAATTTCTATTAGCCTTTTTTGTTTCTAAGTATTTTAATCCTGGTTCCTAAAAGGCAAGAATAATTGTTAGAATAAAAGAGGGGCAACTGAGTGGCTCAGCTGGTTAAACATCCGACTTTAGCTCAGGTCATGATCTCGCAGTTTATGATTTCAAGCCCCGCACTGGGCTCTGTGCTGACAGCTCAGAGGCTGGAGCCTGCTTTGGATTCGGTGTCTCCCTCTCTCTCTCTCCCTACCCCCTCACACTCTGTCTCGCTCTAAAATAAACATTTTTAAAAAATAATAAAAAGAAAAGGAGAAAAAATACAGCCTGGGCCAGAAGCTGAACTACACTGGGAAAGTTGCTGCTCTGGACCAGCAGGAAGTGTCCTAAGAAGTGAGAAAGTTTCTAGAAATGGAGCAGGCAACCAGAAGCATGTTAACTACCCATACCTACCTCTACCATCTCCTGGTGAAGGGAAAAGGGCCTTTCTACTAAAAAGAGAATTCAAAGGCTCTAGAACAAGAGTAAACTTTTCAATAAAAGGCCAGAGAGTATTTTAAGCTTTCTGGGCCATATGTGATTAAAACCATTAGCAGCCTGGTACAAGAACAGGCAATTTGCTGACACCAACTCTAGGGGCCAAGTGGTGATCTCACCCCTGCTTTTATAGCTGACTTCCCCTCTGGCTAAGGAAGGCCTGTCTTAGGAGGAAAGGCAATCTAGCATGGCTTTAGAAGCATTAGTGTTAGACTCTACCATCATTGGTTGTGTCATTTAGTCAAATTACTTACTCTCATTGTGCATGTGTCCTCATCTGCAAAATGTGTGCAATAATGATAATTAAAAAAAAAAAAAAAAGGTAGCTGTGAGGT